ATTTACTTGGATGGCCCCTTGCCTACCCCCTCCATGACTGAAGATGTTTGTGCTTTACCAAAAAACAGCCCCATTTCTCCTTCCGACCCCTGTCCATGGTCTGGGACACACATCTTGTAAATGACCTGCAATGTTGCAGAATCAGCCTTGAGATTTCACTGAAGGATGGACAAAGAGAGGGGGAGAAGGGTTGGGAAGGAGCAGAATTTTGTTCCGATATACAGAGTATGTACAGCAATTGGCATACGTGCCAGTCTGGCTCCGAGATAGCCTATTACTGTGCCGGGAAGGATTCCCTGGTGCGAAAGTCCCCCTCTATAGCAAACAACGGGCAAGACTGAGTGTGTACTTTCAGCCCTGAGCAAGGGAAAGCATGAAGCTCTGCCACCCCAGAAAGCCAAAGTGATTCCAAGTCTCAGTTCCCTTTGAGCCTGCTTGCCACCTTGCATCCAGTCTTCTCCATCTCCGGCCCTGCCCACATCCTCACCTGAAAGGAGTGTCTGACATGAAGCAGCTGCTCTGCCTGCCCACTCCTGGGCCAGCCCTGCACAATCACACAGCAGGAGGAACCTTATGTCCCCTGATTTCCTTGCACAGCCGTGCAGGGCTCAGTCACAGTCATTGAAGCTACAGCTGAAAGAGGCCTATTGGCTCACCCAACCTCTCTCTCTGCCAGATTGTTCCTGGGATATTCCCGAGGAAGCTGGGAGTCTCAGGTTTCAGTGAAATGGTTTTCTTTAACCCCACCAACGACATAAGGGATGAGGCCTGGTCTTACGGAGAGAGCTCCTAACCTGATCCAAGTCACTCTCTAGCCGCCCTCCCATGAGATACCTGCGCTGTCCCGTAGTTCCTGATGCTGTCTATTTTGTTCACTTGTCCCAAGCAATGGAGTCTCTGCCACTTGCCCGGGAAAACCGTTCCACATGCTAAAATATCTCAGTGCCAGGAAGCTGTTCCTGATATCCAGTCTAAATTCCTTCCTTTCTGAGCAGCATTCCATTGCTCCTAGTTCTACCCTTGCGTATCCTGCTAAATAACTCCTCTGCATCTCCCAGGCACATACAGATTCTTAGCATGTCTCAACGGTGTTTAGCTCTTTCCTTAAAAATATTTAGCTCTTTATCTTCCCCCAGACACTATCTCTAGCTCTTCAGCTCCCACGATCATTTTTGTTGCTGTTTTCTCAACTCCCTCCAGTTCCATCAATATCTTCCTGCTAATGCAGTAACTGAATGAGATATTCAGGCAGCCACTGCACCAGGGCTGTATAAGAGAGTGACTGTTACTCCTCAGCTCGGCTATGGGATGTTTCCGCAGTATAATAAGTAGACAAGCGGCTGTGCCCTAGCAAATGTCGTCATTAACAGCACTCCATGAGATCTGTGTAACTCTGTGCTGTTTTCAGCTCACATCATCCGCTTCTCCAGCCACACTCGGGTCTCAAAATGCCATTGGCTCACCTGCAATGGGAAGTGCAACTAGGACACTCGAATGTTACTGAGTGGGTAATTAGGTGTCGTATGGAAATAATTGGGCACCAAATATTCAGCCTCTGTGCTGATGTTAGCCACGCAGTCAATATGGACTTCCAGACTTCAGTCTGCACTCAGGCTCAGTGCCTGTGGGGACTAGCTCGCAGATTCTGACTGCATCTGAAAGCATAAACGTCCCCAGGTGAGGATGAAAATTGGGCAGGGACTGTGCTTTGCTTTAGGTTTGTACAGCACCTAGCACACACGTGTGCACTATTGGAAGCAAATAACAGTCATGGAGAGGAGGGAACTTCTGGAGATTGCAGTCCTGATTCTGGTCTCAGACTGGTGTAATTCCATCAACCTCAATGGAGTTACTCCTGATTTAGGGCTTCAATGGGAGTCTTTTCGATATATTCAAATGGCATTGGATCAGGCCCTTATACTGGTCAGTGAGATCAGAATCAGTTCTGCCTGGAGATATGGGGCCTAAGTGAGAGATCACTGGTCAAAATAACCTGGCCCCCTGAGAGAGAGGAGCAGATGCAATGGGTGTGAAGATAAGGACTAAGATTATTGGAGCTGGGGCATTGGCAGCTCTACCCTAGCACAGTCAGGCCTGGTCTACACTGGGGGGGGAATCAATCTAAGATATGCAACTTCAGCTACGAGAATAGCGTAGCTGAAGTCAATGTATCTTAGATCGAATTAAAATTACTTACTTCACGGCGCAGGATTGAAGGCCGCGGCTCCCCTGTCGACTTTGCTTCCGCCTCTCGCTGAGCTGGAGTTCAGCAGTCGACGGGAGAGCGATCAGGGATCGATTTATCACGACTACACTACACGCGATAAATCGATCCCCGATAGATCGATTGCTACCCGCCGATCCGGCGGGTAGTGTAGACGTACCCTCAGAGAGCACAACCTCAGCGCTTCAAACATCTGGTTTATTCTAGGGAGTGATGCTAGCACGCCATGTCACCTTTGGGGGGGGGTTTCCAACTCCATCCAGAATGCCATCTGTTTTATTTGGCTTCAGAAGATTTAACCTCTCTCCCCCCCCCCCCCCCCCCCAAGAAAAAAACATACAGCAATCGATAAGAGAAGAAATACATTACTGAATTGCTAAGTGACCCTGATGCTCTGATTAGATTTAAAGCTATTGTTTAAACAGAAAGAAAACTCACTCTCTACGCAAAGGAATAAATGGACACAAATCAGATGTCAAGAATTATAACATTCAAAAACCAGTCAGAGAACACTTCAACCTCCCTGGTCGCTCAATTACAGACCTCAAAGTCACAATACTCCAACAAAAAGCTTCAAAAACAGACTCCAACAAGAAACTGCAGAATTGGATTTAATTTGCAAACTGGACACCCTTAAATTAGGCTTGAATAAAGACTGGGAGTGGATGGGTCATTACACAAAGTAAAAACTATTTCCCCATGCTAATTCCCCCCCCCCCCCGACTGTTACTCACACCTTCTTGTCAACTGTTGGAAATGGGCCATCCTGATTATCACTACAGAAGTTTTTTTTCTCCTGCTGATAATAGCTCACCTTAATTGATTACTCTCCTTACAGTTGGTATGGCAACACCCATTTTTTCATGTTCTTTGTGTGTATATATATCTTCCTACTGTATTTTCCACTGCATGCATCCGATGAAGTGGGTTTTAGCCCACAAAAGTTTATGCTCAAATAAATTTGTTAGTCTCTAAGGTGCCACAAGTACTCCTGTTCTTTTCACTCAATACTTATATTGCAGAAAGGTCAAAAGAGCCTCGTAAATGACAGAACCTCTCAATTTAAAACCATATTATAATCCATACTATTTGAAATAACAAATGTTGTTTGCTAACCTTCTTAGTGTTTTGTATGTGCTGGGACATTGGTTCTGTTAGCTGACTGTTAACTTTTCCAAAAACCGAGGGCTTGTCTACACTTAAACAGCTGCGTGGTACTTCAGTGAAGATGCTGCCTATGTTGATGGGAGGGATTCTCCTACCTGCGCAGGTACTCCACCTCCCCGAGAGGTGGTAGTGTAGCTATGTGATGGGAGAAGCCCTCCCATTGACCTAGTGCTGTCTACGTGGGGAGTTAGGTCGCTATAACACAGTTATGGGTATGACATAGTTATACCCATGTAAGTTGCTAGCATAGACCAACTCTGAGACAAGAGAATTTGCATTGCAAATTAATTCCTAGGAAGGGTATTATTCCTAGTAATGTGTTATCCATTGTAACCCTGAAACTCCACCTTCATCAGCCAATTACAGAGACAAGACCCTTCTGCACTGCTCATGTCCATGCAAGCATCTTTATCGGCTCAAGGTTGGGCCGAAGTTCCTTGAATGTCTCCTTTCCATCAAGCCCACCCATCCATGTAGGTGATTGCCAGCTGGCTGCTTAAAGCTGGTTGAAAACTCGGAAAATGAGTTCATAAAGAAATTCAAAATGTTTTTTCCCCCTTTCTGCAGGGTTCAGGATGGACCCATTTTCCATAAATGCTTTCCACAACCTGATCAATTCAACTGCTGGGGGAAGGTCCATTGTGGGGTATATACTCTGCAAAGTTTATACTCCAGCCAATCTGTGCTAGACAAATGTGGCGAAGTTCTGGAATGAAAATTGCTGCTGGCACTTTTCCTCTGCCCTGCTCTAGGGCTGGTGGCTGTGATCACACCAAGAGATATTATGTTGTTCATTTCCCCAAAACTAGAACTGCTTTAACATACTCCCAGAGGGTTTGCTTGTTACCTAGTGCGGTAGGATGAAATAATTGTGTAGTAATGAGTAGTAATTTATCTGCATAGTTTTTACAAATGGGGCATTCATACTTAGACCAAGCGAAAGAGGAATTACTTTTTGGGGTTCAGGATCTGTGAATTAACTAGGGAACCCATCTCAGATTAAATCAGTTACCTGTTTGTTCTGAGGGCTCAGGGGTGTTGGTTATGAACCCTGATGAAAAATGACTTTCAGGTGGGTTTCCCCCCACTCCAGTCAGCAGTGGTTGTATTGTATCCCAGTTCTTCTGCTGGGTGGTGTTTTGGGTGGAAACATTAACCTTACCCTAGCGTGAACCTCCAGCCTGGCTAAAAATTAAGGGATAACAAAGCTGTGATCTACAATGTGTGAATAAGCCACCTGCGTGGACGTCATCTCAGTGGGGGATTATAGCTAGGACGGAGCAGGGATTACCTGATATTAAACCTTTTTTCTTTCCCTCTAGGACAATCCCAGACCTTGTGAATGTGTCTAGGATCCCCTATTAAAACATGTTGAAGTGATACTTATAGTTCCAGGGTGCACAGATCCCTACTAATCGCACAGGCCTGAGCCAATCTGGCCCCCTGAATCTGAGCTGGGGTGGCTAGCTCAAGCTGCTGCCCGAGTTGCAATATCCGCACAGCTGTTTTTAGAGAGGAGTGCGAATCTGGCTACCCATAATGAGCTGCAAAGCCCTGTGCGGCGTCAGGGTCTGACATGCACTGACTGCCCCTCTCTCTTTGCCTTCAGTTCCAGGGAGGAGTGTGGGCCTTGAGCACAGGTCTGTGTGACGCTCTGATGACCATGGATGTGATGTTGTGCACGGCCTCTATCTTCAACCTCTGTGCTATCAGTGTGGATCGGTAAGCACTTCCCCCAGCTACTTAGCCCATCCGAGCTTGTCTCTTGTCTGGGCTTTACAGCCCTTCCCCTGGGAAATCATTGAAGGGATGTTTCCCCATCTTCCTTCTGCATTGAAGCGGTGCTGAGGTCAGACTGGCTGGGACTTTCTTCATTGCCATGCAGGGAATCCCTAGCCCTGTTTCCCCTAGGGAAGTCTCTCTTGGATTGAATCTATTTCCCCTATCTCCAGCCCCAGTTTTGGTGGAGATTCGCTCCCTCATCTCTCCAAGGCCTGGAGCCCAAGCAGTCTGGGAGCAGTTAATAGTGATGCCAAAGGCAGAAATCAGGCTGATAAGAGCTGTCCCTTGTTGGGTTTGACTTGAGAGAGTGAACTATGTCTAGAATAAGCCTTCAGCCACTTGGATTCCAGAGTCCTGCCCTAATTCCCAGCTCAGAGGACCAAGCTGGGGTAAGCGGAGCATTAAGTCTCAGGGCCCATTCAGTCCTGGCCTCTCTGCTTGGACGGCCAATAGATACCAGTCCATTAGAAGCTAGATTCAGACCAAACACGCTTCACACAGGCCACCAAACAGCTGTTGGATGCCTTCTTGTTTTTGAGGCTGGGAAAGCTGGTCAGGTGTCGCCTGTTCCTTGGTGGCAAGGCTCCGTGTTGGTTTTCTGCCTATCACTTTGAAATAAGCAGAGCAGAACCCAGCGTAGCAGGTCTGGATGGTTTGAGTGGCAGCGGCAGGCTATTGCTGCATCACAAAAGGCTGTTTATTGTTCAGGAAGGTTGTCCTTCCTGGGGATTTGGAGGTGACGGTCGATTCCTGAACAGAAATCCGTTAGCCGGGCCAGTGAATGGATGAGTAAGAAACAGCTGGGAAGTGATCACTTGGTCATAGAGCGCCCTTTGCAGAGCTCAGCTCGCTCTTTGCTCTGTGGTCCCAGTGTGCCAAACACCAGCCTGACCTCCTCCTGGGAGCACGCGTGTAACAAGAATAGCTCCCTAAAAGATTTAATTACAGCCCCAGGCGCTCATTTCATTTACATTTCAATAGGCCGGCTATGGCATGTCAGCAAAATAAGAGTTGAGAACCTATTTACGGAGGATTAATAACTCTGTCCGAGAGTACATTCGCTACATCGCCATTGCAAGCTGTGGCTATTAATCCATGGTCAGTGTCTTAAACACCATGGGTTATTGCACATACATCATCTGCCTCATGAATTCAAGTGACAACAGCTGTCTGGAACCCGAGGTGAGGAAAGGAGAAGCTTTGCTGGCTCAGAACTGACTGATCCACATTAATAACCTGGCCGCCGCCATCTGGCACATGCTTGGTGACCTACAGTAAAATGCACTATCCCCTCCACGCTGCAGAGGCTTTATATTGAGGGAGTCTTGGTGAGGTGAACACTAAAATCCCAGGTGGTGGTAGGGTGACCAGACAGCAAATGTGAAAAATCGGGACGGGAGTGGGGGGTAATAGGACCCTATATAAGAAAAAGACTCAAAAATCGGGACTGTCCCTATAAAATCGGGACATCTGGTCACCCTAGGTAGTGGTGGGGCACACAGGCAAAGCATTCTGTATAAAGCAGATCATGTGGGTGGGCGTGTATTACACTGCTATATGGGAAACCCAACCTGGGAATGATATGGCCACCCTCTCTCTAGGGGAGAAAGCGGAAACTGTGGGAACTCTTAGTAATGATTAGGGTGAGGGGAAGGCAGCTGAGAAAGTGCCCCTTTCCTGTTGTCGGGGAACCATGCTGTTCTCTTCTGCCATGCAGGGTGGGAAATAAATACCATGCGGGGGATGGGAGGTGGCAGTGAGATCAGGAGCTCATGCACCGAGTAGCACTTGTGGGTATGATGCACCATATTCTTGGGAATGATGAGGGGAGAGGCAGTGCCACCACATAGGGCTTCAGCAGCCAGTGTGCTAGAGGAAGTGATAGCCTGGGAAGGAAATGAGCATCCCTAGATGGAGAATAGGGGCGGTGAAGGAGGCGGGTGTTGAAGTGGGGTCAGGGACGAGCCGAGGGAGCAGCTACCCTAGAACAAAGCAGTGAATGTCACCCAAACAAATGGCTGGATTTCACCTTCCCTCCCATCCTTTGATCACCAAACATGGCCCCCCAAAATGACAGGAGTAATAGATGTTAAGGCCAGAAGGGACCATTGGGTGACCAACCAGCCTGAGATCCTGCACAAGTCATAGAATGTCACCCAGGGATGAGATGAGATTTGTCCTGTCCTCAAGAGAAGCTTATGTTAAGGGAATTCACACCAGTGAAACACCATGGATGTAGAGACAGCAGGACAAACCCATATTGTGCCACACTGCACAGGTGCCATGGGGGGTTGACGCTGGTGCAGCTGGCTCTGGGCTGCTAAATAAATAAATTAATTAATGGAGTTATCCTATCTCCTAGAACTGGAAGGGACCTTGAAAAGTCATCGAGACCAGTCCCCTGCCTTCACTAGCAGGACCAAGTACTGATTTTGCCCCAGATCCCTAAGTGGCCCCCTCAAGGATTGAACTCACAACCCTGGGTTTAGCAGGCCAATGCTCAAACCACTGAGCTATCCCTCCCCACGCTCCACTTTGTGCCTGTTCCACTTTGTGCCAGTGCCATGTGAGTGATGAGGATTTGGGTACATCAACATAGCGATACTGCTGGGAATGGCCTCATGGTAGATGGGGCCTAATGGTCTGATGGCGCTCTCCTAAATGTGCTGGGGAAGAAGGGGTCCCAGCCAACAGCAGGATCTCAGCCTGATACAGGGTTGGGTTTGGGAGAACATTGACTACTCCATTTACTGTCAGAGTCATTGCCCAGGCAACTCGCACAGTGATCGGTGGGAGAAGAGGACATGCTCTGCTGGCACCACTCTCCCAGCTCAGGGCAGCTCCATGCTACCAGCCTTGACCCTGTTTTCTCTCTATGTCACAGGTTCATCGCCGTTTCCATCCCGCTGAACTACAACCGGCAGCAGATCGACCTGCGGCAGCTGATCCTCATCTCCACCACTTGGATCTTTGCTTTCGCCGTGGCATCCCCGGTCATCTTCGGCCTCAACAACGTCCCAGATAGGGACCCCACCTTGTGTCAGCTGGAGGACAACAACTACATTGTCTACTCCTCCATCTGCTCCTTCTTCATCCCCTGTCCAGTCATGCTGGCCCTCTACTGTGCCATGTTCCAGGGACTCAAGCGGTGGGAGGAGGCCAGGAAGGCCAAGCTGAAGAGCAGCTTGTATGCGGGCGGCAGGAAGCTGTGCTGCCCACCTCCCCTCATGGAGAGGAAGCAGGCCGAGGTCAAGCTGCAGGAGCGCAGTCTGTATGACCGCTCCGAGTGCTCTTTCCCCAGGGGGTACGTGATGAACAGTGGCATCCAGACTGTCTCCTACCCTCACCTCAAGTACTCCCACCCGGGACACACACAGAAACAGGCCAAGATCAATGGCCGTGAGAGGAAGGCTATGAAGGTGCTGCCGGTTGTGGTCGGTGAGTGGATGGTCCTCATTACGTGGATGCTAGAACAGTGGAGGGGGGGAGAGGGTTACACTGGGGCTGGGATTTTCAGAAAGGCTGGTACATTGGGAGCTGTCTGTGTTTAAAAATTGGTCTCTAATTCAGGTGCTGTCTTGAAAATCTGCCCCCAATTGTTGGCTTTTTTAAGCACCTGTAAATCTGGTCCTGAGTGCAGTTGAAAATCTGGCCCCAAGTGGGCTCTTGTATTTTAACAGGGCACCAGTAGCCTTCTTCCCACCCACCCTTTAGCCAGGATTAGCACTTGATTGCCTCCAGAACACCTGGACTAAGATCTCACCTGGTGTTTCATGCACACGCCAGGGGAAGGTATGCCCTGCCAAGTGCATTCCTCCTCCTCCTCCCACCCCCACCAAAGTGAGGGTGGAAGAGGCAAAGTCAGCTTCTTGTGCTGCCCCTGTGTGGGGTGCAGGGCAGAGCTATGATTTAGCCCTGCAGTTTCGGAGGTTTGATTTGATCACCGTGACTAATCGAGCACCTAGAACTAGAAATGATTCTCTAGCCATCCTGGCTCAACTGCTGTGACCTGCAATGCAATAAGTGAGGGAAGCAAAGCTGCTCTGGCCAGAGGTAATCCTATCTCATCTCCCCTGTCTGAAAATACTCATACTCCCACATGGAAATCCATGCTGGCCTCTCTTGTTATGGCTAATGATGATGCTTATCCTAAAACCTTTACAGCTCTTTAATCTGATAGCTGAAGGCATAGATAGACACTATCTTTTATTGGACCAGCTTCTGTTGGTGAGAGAGACAAGTTTTTGAGCTTACCCAGAGCTCTTCTTCAGGTCTGAGAAAGGGGAACTCCCAGCATCACAGCAAAACACAAGGTGGGACAAATTGTTTAGCATAAGTAGTTGGCACATATTGTAAGGCACCATTCAGGGTAGAGTGGTCCATTAACACCTCCGCAGTCAGAGGACAAAAAGAGAGGGTTAGTGGGTTACAGATTGTTGTAATAAACCATAAATCCAGTGTCTCTGTTCAGTCCATGAAGGCCAGGGCTACACTACAGATATTTATTGATAGAACCATGTCGCTCAGGGGTGTGAAAAATCCACATCCCTGAGTGACGTACTTATACCAGTCAAATCCCCGATATAGAACTTCTCCCATTAACATAGCTACCGCCTCTTGGGGAGGTAGATTAACTGTGCCGCCAGGAGCGTCTTCACTTAAAATGCTGCATCAGTTCCTACGCACTGCTGTAGCCCTTACGTGTAGACCTGCTCTAGCAGAGTAATGAATTTAAGCTCCCAGGCTTGTCTTGTGAAATTGTTGTGCAGGTTTCCTTTGAGGATGAGGGCTGACAGGTCCGATATAGAGGGATCGCTTTGTGAAAAGTGTTCACCTACAGGTGATAGTGTTTGTCTTTTACCCTTTTCTTGTGTGAGTTCATTCGACAGTGCAGTGATTGTCTGGCATAGTGAGAGCCCCTGGCTGAAAGCCAGAATAATTCAAACTGGAAATTGACACAGCTTTTTACTACTAAGGAGTGGGGATGTGGTGGAGTCTTTAAATCAGAGTTGGCTTGCTGGCTAAAAGCTTTTGCGGTAGCTCAACCACAAGCTGCTGCTGGGTTTGCTGCAGGAGCCATGAGGTGACGTAGAGAGCTCATGCTAGGCAAGAGATGGTCCTGTTGGGCCTTAAAATCTGTGAATCCCAACAAGCTAATGACTCAAGGGCCTTTTCTGCCCTTATTTGTCTCCTTGGAGGCTTTTCTGTCACGTGAGGACTAAACACTCAGGCATCAGCATCATGACTGTTCACCACATGCTGCAGGAGATACGTTTGGTTCAAGAGCCGTCTCCTATTGACGTGCACTGTACACAAAGGCAGGGATTGGATGATGTAGCAAGACAACTTATTCCACCACTTAGACCATGTCTACACTACCACTTAAGTCAGCAAAACTTGTCACTCAGTGGTGTGAAACCCCCCCCCCGCCCCGGCCCCAAGCGTCAAGTTTCACTGGCATAAGTGGTAGTGTGCACAGCTACAGCCACTCGTGGAGGTGGTAGTAATTATGTGAACGGGAGAGCTCTCCTGTTGCCATAGAGCGGCTACACAAGCGATTGTTCAGCAGTGCGTCTGAATCAGTACAGCTGTGCCACTGTAAGCTTGCTAGTTTAGACATGGTGTTATTGCTCGGCCTCCTGTCTGGTCACAAGGGCAGGATGCAGGCTGGGAGGGGGGGGGGTGTCCGTACGTCCCTGTGGGTCTAGAGCAGAGGTGGGCAAACTTTTTGGCCTGAGGCCACATCGGGGTATGGAAATTGTATGGCGGGCCATCAACGCTCATGAAATTGGGGGTAGGGACACAGGAGGTGGTGCGGGCTCTGGGGTGGGGCCAGAAATGAGGAGTTTAGAGAGAAAGAGGGGGCTCCGGGTTGGGGTACCGGGGGGGGAGGTGCGGGCTCTGGGATGGGGAGAGGTTTGGGGTGTAGGAGCGGGCTCCAGGCTGGGACCAATGGGTTCAGAGGGTGGGAGGGGGATCAGGGATGGGACAGGCTGTTGGGGCATGGGGGGGTGCAGGCTCTGGGGGGGCTGGGGATGAGGGGTTTGGGGTACAAGAGTGGGGGTCTGGGCTGGGATCGGGGGGTTTGGAGGGCAGGAGGGGGGATCAGGGCTGTGGCAGGGGATTGGGGCGCAGAGGCGGGCTCAGGGTGCAGGCTTTGGGCGGTGCTTACCGCAAGCAGCTGCCGGAAGCATGGCCCCCGTCCGGCTCCAAGGCACGGCCAGGCGGCTCTACGCGCTGCCCCATCCGCAAGCACCACCCCTGCAGCTCCCATTGGCTGGGAATCGTGGAGCCGGAGGGGGGGGGGTCATGCTGGCTGTTTCCTGGGAGCCGCGCAGTGCGGGACAAGCCTCTGACCCTGCTCCCCGGCTGGAGCTGAGGGCCGGATTAAATGGTCTGAAGGGCCGGATGTGGCCCACAGGCCGTAATTTGTCCACCCCTGGTCTAGAGGGTGGGGGTCAGTTTGTTCTTGAAGTAGCTTTCCAGGAAGGCCAGGAGTCCAGCTGTTCTTGTAATTGAACCATGCACAACCAACAGAGAGATTTTGAGTAACTCCATGAGAGTATCACGCACAACTATCTGCAGCAGCACTGAGACCCTCATCACAGGTGTGTCAAAGGGCCACAACGACAGTGGGGTTGCACCCTCTCTCCCCCCACCCCCGCCTGCCCCCCCACTGTTCTGTCCTGCATGCTCAAGAAGTCACTGTTGTTAATAACAACAATCTCTAATGGCTGGTTCAAGAGCACTAGGAGAGAATGTTGACTTTTTAGGCCTTCCAGGCAGCAAAGCTAGGGAACAAAGCCAGGCCCCTGAGAACTGCCAGACCCAACCCACGCTCCAGCCTATTGTAATGTTTATGCTCTTCCAACTACCAGATTGTGTGTCTCGGATCCTGAAATGCTTTACAGTGATCAGGAAACCAGCTTAAGACTCCAGTTAACTGTAATCAGACTGGCATTACAGGCCCTTTGATTAGCAAAGCATGACTCAGGGTAGTTTTTGTGTTTCAACTATGCAAAACCCGAGCTGAAGGAGGGCCCTCTGGATGGGCTAATGGGCCTTAATCTACAACCTGATGAAGGGGTAGAGCACGGATGGCTGCAATCCAAACCAAGCCAGTGGGTCAGCAGGTCAGATGAGGATTTTTAGTGGAGGAAACTTGGAAGCTGGCACTTCACGTGACCTTTGCTAGGGGAAACAGACCTAAGTGCTTCTGTGGCCTCTGTAGGATCTGAGCATCTGCCACACAGTTATGAATTTAAACTACCCTACCTCCAAGGGATGGTCGCGCCTTTGCCAGCTAAGGCACAGAGAGCGATTCAGTGACAAGCCCAGGGTCACACAGGTCCGTTATAGCAGAGCTGGGACTTGGAAGCCACCCTGCTGTGGACCAGGCCAGTGCCTGAGCAGTAAGCCCAGGCTTCCTCCCTCAGCCCATCTACTTGGGGCCTGTTCTGTCCTGCTCATCAGTCACTATAAATGGGGTAAAGTTCAGCCCACCATGAGCGCCTCCCTCTTTGCAGTAAAAGGGCCTGGAAACAGCAAGGCAGCCAGAGCTGGCCCTTTGATCGAAGAGGGTGAAATCCTATCCCCCAAGAGGCTCTGAACTCGGCGCTCTGCAGGAGGGCAGTCTTCAGGGACAGCTGCTTCCCTGCCTTATGGGCCCTGGAGCACAGCTCCTCTGTGGGGGATGGAGTAACAACAGCTCATCACTTAAAATCCAGTATGTTGTGATGGGGGCAAGTCCGGTCCATCCCTGAGCAGGTGGATACATGGGCCCTTCTCCCTGGAGGGAGGGACTGCCCTAGAGGCTAGTGAAGCCCTAAATTCCTGCTGGTGCAGGATTGCAGAATCAGACACCCTAGGTGGGGGCTGAATAGGGCTGCATTTGAGTTTCACTGTCCTGGCGAGCGGAGTGCCAGCCTGCTCATGCATTTCTCTGGCAGTAGAAGCTGGGAAAGCACAGCGGAGGAGTAGGGCATGAGATGAAGTAAGGCGCACGCTTGTTGCATTTGCTAGCACTTCCTGGGATGATTTCACCAAACGCAGTGTTGTAACCTCAGGGCCGGTAATTCCTTGTGCAGCAGCCACCATTGCTGCTGCTGCAGGTCAGAGGGTGAGCCGCAGAACGTGGTCGCGTTCCTCCTGTTACAGCTAGAGAAATATACTGCCTATTGACACAGGTGTGTGTAATATATTCAGCAGCTACCACCAAAACATCCCACCCCCTACCACAGGTAAAAAGCTGTGCTTAGATACTGCCGCACAGCTCCCCCGTGCAATCTCAGGCTGTGTTGCCAAGGGCAGTATCTGCCCTCCAGTTTCCATGCTGGTTCCACCTTCTCACCTGCCCTCATTCAACCCACGCATCTAGTCAAAGTGTTGAGTTGTTTCTGTAAGGAGAAACTGACAGTGGAGGCAGGGAGTCCTTTGATGCTCTTGGGTTTATTACAAACAACAGACAAAGTCCCGTTTGCCTGAACACGAGAGAGCTTCTTTGCTTGCAGTCCAAAGCCTCTTTAGTCAGCACCAGAGCAGAAGCCCCTTTTCCAGACTTCTGTCAGGGTCACACAGTGTGTGACACACACCCTGCTTCTCCAGTCTGTTCTTTCGCTTATACTCCCCCTACCTCCCAACAATACCCAGCAAACCACTCTGCCCAGGATAGCAGATCTGGACAGTCTTGCGTCTGCCTGTGGTTGGGGGCTGGAGACTGCTATTTCAATCACACACATTCTGAATGAAAGGCAGCACTTACACTCAACCTGTAACCACAAGGTTGAACCCAATACCCTACTACTTATTTTTCTCTAGGCTGTGGGTTCTCAACTTGGGGGTCATGACAAAGTCAGTGGGTCTTAACCATCCTGCAATGGAAAAGGTTGAAAACCCCTGCACTAGGTGATTGATTGGTATCCCCTCCTTTTGATGTGCAAGTTGATGCTGGCACCACACTTGATCTGTGCCTGTAATGATGCAGGAAGAGATGGCTAGAGAGGTTGCTTAATGCTTGTCCTGGTTCCCACTTCCTCCATTTATGTCTGTGTATATGTTTCTCTTTCCATCTCTGTAACGCCTTCTTTAGCCCCCAAACCCTACTAAGCCAGACAGGTGCATGGCAATTCTCTAATAGCACAATACAATCTCAGGCCTTGGCTACACTTGCCGATGTACAGCGCTGTGAGTTAAACCTGAGTTCGTGCAGCTGAGTAGGGAAAGCGCTGCAGTCTGTCCACACTGACAGCTGCCCAGCGCACTGTCGTGGCCACATTTGCGGCAATTGCAGCGCTATTGGGAGCGGTGCATTATGGGCAGCTATCCCACAGAGCACCTTTTCCCATTCTGGCGCCGTGGGTTGTGGGAAGGGGGCGTGGGTGCAGGGGATTCTGGGTCCTGTCCCAATGCCCCGTGATGCATCGCTTCGCATCCCAGAAATCCCTTTGTTTCCGTCCACCTTTGGCGCCATCTTTCAACGGTTTCTGTGCAGCGCGCTCTGTCTGCGGGAAATGGAGTCCGAACTGCTGAGGCGTATGCTGACGAGTCTCGCCAGCACGTCACGTTTGGCTGTCGAACTATTCCTTAAGATCCAAAGTGACAGTGAGAGTGAGGAGTCCGATGATGCTATCGAGCCGCGTAACGCGTACGACACGAAATTGCTTGTGGTATTCACGGACACGCTCAGCACTGTGGAACGCCGCTTTTGGGCTCGGGAAACAAGCACTGAGTGGTGGGATCACATCGTCATGGAAGTCTGGGCTGACGAGCAGTGGCTGCAGAACTTTCGGATGAGAAAAGCCACTTTCATGGGACTGTGTGAGGAGCTTGCCCCCACCCTGTGGCGCAAGGACACGAGATTGAGAGCTGCCCTGCCAGTGGAGAAGCGGGTGGCTATTGCAATCTGGAAGCTGGCAACTCCAGACAGCTACCGGTTGGTCGCAAACCAGTTTGGAGTTGGAAAGTCGACTGTTGGAATCGTGTTGATGCAAGTTTGCAAGGCCATTAATCGCATCCTACTCAGAAGAACCGTGACTCTGGGTAACGTGCAGGAAATAGTGGATGGCTTTGCACAAATGGGGTTCCCTAACTGTGGAGGGGCGATAGATGGGACGCACATTCCTATTCTGGCACCACCCCACCTAGGATCCGAGTACGTTAATCGGAAGGGGTATTTCTCTATGGTTCTCCAGGCGCTTGTGGATCACCGTGGGCGTTTCATTGACATTAACACAGGCTGGCCCGGAAAGGTGCATGATGCACGCATCTTTCGGAACACTTGGCTGTTCAGGAAGATGCAGGCCGGGACTTTTTTCCCAGAGCGGAAGATCACGGTAGGGGAAGTTGAAATGCCCATTGTGATCCTTGGAGATCCCGCTTACCAGTTAATGCCGTGGCTCATGAAGCCCTACACAGGGAGCCTTGACAGCAGCAAGGAACGGTTCAACTACAGGCTGAGCCGGTGCCGAATGACTGTGGAGTGTGCCTTTGGCCGTTTAAAGGGCCGCTGGCGATCTCTGTATGGGAAGCTGGACTTGGCCGAAAACAGCATCCCCGCGGTTATATCCGCGTGCTGTGCCCTCCATAATATTTGTGAAGGAAAGGGTAAAAGCTTCACTCGGGCATGGACCTCCGAGGTTCAACACCTGGAGGCTGAATTTGCACAGCCAGAGAGCAAGGCTATTACAGGGGCCCAGCGCGGGGCTGCAAAGATTAGGGATGCCTTGAGGGAGCAATTTGAGGCTGAAACCCAGCAGTGATATCTGGTGCCCTGCACGGGAGTGAAGTGCAGTAGTTCCAATCTTTAGGAATCAGTGTCTGCTTAGCAGACAAGCAGACTTGCAGTGCCTGTTTATTTCCTGGGCTAAGGAGTTTTTTACTTTATGCAATAATAAAGAATGTTTTCAAAGCCAAAGAATCCATTTATTGAAAAGAAAAAAAAAATTTTTTTATTGAAAAGAAACAAGGGGGTGGAGTGGGGAACGGTACAATCACAGATTCGCATATGTCCTGTCTGGTGTGCTGTGCAGTGAGTGCTGCACTTCAGGATAGCTATACTGCATGGTGATGGGGGTTGAGTGCAGAGGGTAAGGGTCGTGGTTTTCAGGGCTGGGTGGTGAAGATACTGGTGTTGGAGGCAGCGGGTGGCGTGAAGAACACGGAAGTTGGGGAAAGTGGGTTGGAGGTGACAGTGGGGCACAACGGAAAGAGTTTTGGGACAAGGGCTGTGGGGGGGGGGGTGGCGTTTGCGGTACTGCTCCTCTTTCTGCATGGTTACCAGCTCCTGGATAGCATCTGCTTGGCGCTCCAGGATGCTTATGAGCCTATCAGTGCTTTGCTGCCGGTGCGCGGTGCTTTGCCGCCGGTGCGCTGCGTTTTCCTGGCGGATCCTGCTTTCTCTCTCCCTCCAGTCCTATGCTTTCTCATTCTCTTTAATAGATTGCCGCATCACTTCTTGCAGCATGTCTTCTTTGCTTTTTCGCGGTCTCTTCCTGAGTCTTTGCAGTCTCTGAGCAGGCGATAAGAGGGACGGCTGAGGTCTCAAGGTTGATGCAGCTGTATGGGCAAAATGCAACATTTAACAGAGGCAGCATTGTTTATACCAGACAGAGTAATGATTCCCCCCGCACTTAAGGAGTAGAAAACACACAGGGTCTACACAATAGCATAATTTTCCCATCAGAAACAGAGCACACACATCCCACGGGAGCCTCACAATGGTGAGTAAGGGGGACTGATTGTTTCAGGGCTGCACTGTCCTCTGGGTTTCTGTGCCTTGGGGAGAGCCAACAGCTTCAGGGGGCACCTACACTGAACACTGTCCCAACATTTTCAACAGGAGTTCGTCCTGGACGATATCTCGCTGCTGAGGGTGACCTGGGAAGCAAGGGAGGGTCTTCTACTGCAATGCGGCTTCCGCCCTGGCCCATATGCAGCTTGCCTGTGTGCAGCAATGGTCCCCCCGCCCCTCGCGGCACAGGGGCGCGGACACGTTAGCCTGGCTGGGACAAGGACCACGGCGGCTCTCCCAATAAACCTGCGTAAGCGCATTGCACATGTTCTGGATGAGACATTCGAGGAGATTACCGCGATGTGATAACCCACATCAATGCACTATTCCGCATCTAGGCATGCATGCCTAACCCTCCTCTCCCAAAGAGCCCGCACTAAAAAAATTCCTTCCCGAAAAAAAAAAACCGCTTAGTGGGAACCTGCTCTTCTGTTTGTCCTCCACCAAGTACCGGCCGCTGCGACTGGCTACCTTCCTCCTGGCTCGAGAAGAGCTCCTGGCTGCATGGCTCCAGGGATTCCAGGGTTTCTCCATCCGGCCCACCACCATTACTCCCGTTTTCCTCCTCTTCCTCCTCCCCCCTGCACACCGGCTCTGAAGTGTCCATGGTGGTGCTTGGAGTGGAGGTGGGGTTAACCCCAAGTATCGCATCCAGCTCTTTGTAGAATCGGCAGGTCGTGGGGGGAGCACCCGAGCGGCCGTTTGCGTCGCGGGCTTTGCGGTAGGCACTCCGCAGCTCCTTCACTTTAATCCTGCACTGCAGGGCGTCCCGGTCATGGCCCCTTTCCATCATGTCCTTTGATACCTTCCCGAAGGTATCGTAATTCCTACGGCTGGAGCGCAGCTGGGACTGTACAGCTTCCTCCCCCCAAACACTGATGAGGTCCAGCAACTCGCCATTGCTCCATGCTGGGGCTCACTTGGCACGTGGAGGCATGGTCACCTGGAAGGATTCGCTGATAGCACTCCACACCACGCCGGGCTGAGCAAACAGGAAGGGGATTTTTAAAATTCCTGGGGAATGTAAAGGGTCGGTCACATGGTTGGTTACCTGAGGCCAGGGCAGTAGAGTTTGAACTGATGACCAGAGGGGCTAGAACAGGCATTGTGGGATACTGCCGAATAATTCTGGAGGTCATTCACAGCGCATTGGGCGGCCACACTGGCGCTGCAGCGCTGCACTCGCTATTCCTCTCGGAGAGGTGGAGTACATGCAGCGCCAGTGTGGACGGGGAGTGAGTTACAGCACTGGGGGCGGCTTTACAGTGCTGCAACTCGCAAGTGTAGCCAAGGCCACAGGCTCTCATGCTCTTTAGATGTTGGCTCACCTGCTCTGTTGTTTGTATCAATACTATACCCAGAGGGTACAGTCTGTAATCTGTATTTGACAATGCCTAGACCTCATGGTACAGACACGCTGTAAGAGACACCCTCCCGCTATTTGTGTCTTGAGAGGAACTATTTCACAGAGAAATGAAGTGACTTGGCCCAGGTCTCCTCATTTAGCCTGTGACCCCTCCACTGGGTTACACAGCCTCATCTATCAACCCACGATCTACCTATACTACCCCACCCCATCCCATGGTACTTGTGTGCAGTGTCTGACGTTGCTGTCTGTTCTCTTTCACAGGCGCTTTCCTCTTCTGCTGGACACCCTTCTTTGTAGTACACATAACAAGAGCCCTGTGCAAATCCTGCACCATCCCCAGTCAGGTCATCAGCATTGTCACCTGGCTGGGCTACGTCAACAGTGCCCTTAACCCCATCATCTACACCATCTTCAACACAGAGTTCAGGAAATTCTTCCGCAAAGCTTTGCACGTCTTCTGCTAAGGTTGGCACCTGCTGGAGTCAGGGAGGAACTGAAGCACAGGGCACAGCAGGGAGTAAAGATGACCCAGTGTTGGTTTTTTTGTATAGTTCATTAAAGTTTGATTTCTTGCTACGTTCCTGTGTTTTACACTTTTTCCATGCACATTGAAAGCACAACAGCCTGTCCCAATCCTGGGAGGAATTGTCCATGGAGTCTAGTACCCACGGCTTGATGCACTTGTTAATATGCGTGAATAAAAATTGGGCCTCTGGTCAGTTTGCAGTGTAAAGATCTGGAAGGTGCCAAAAGAGAGAGACTGTGTAACAGCCAAAGTGGCCTATTGTCTGTTGTTCTGGCTCTTCCACTAGCCAATGCCCGATACTTCAGAGGAAGGCGTGAGACTGGCACACGGTGCCTCTCCATACCCTTGGGGGAAGACAATTGAGAGGGGTCCAATGTCTTCCTACACCCCCTTTGCTTTGAGGGCTACCCCAGCATCCTGATGGATAGACATTAAAGTGCACTGGCCCCATGGCGCTTATTGTAGCATTTAGCAAGTTGACCAGGTGACCTACTGTAGAGGGAAGGAGGTGCAAGTTTAAATACTAACAGATTAGCGTCCCCTATTGGCACTGCTGCAGTGTGACTCAGTGGGGATTATGTACTGATCAGGGAAATAGTGGAAAGTGCAGGTTCATGTGTTAGAGCACAAGAGAAAATATTTTAAACCCTGATGATTGCCATGTTGATTAAACCATTCTGCTAAGTACTCCTTGCTCCTCGGGAGTGTCGTTAGTGCCCCTGCTGTGCCAGGCATGAAGCTGGCCAAGTGCAGAGGAAGGTGAACGCTACTCTCCCTTAAAAGCGACAGAGCTTCTGCTCCCCTGGAGAAATCCTGGCCCCCTCTGGCTCTCTGCTACATTGGGGCCCTCCAGCCCCACTGCACTGGGACAGGCCTCCAAGGCAGATTCTTAGCCACACTGTGAAACTATCTGCTTTGTTGCGGCTAGCATCCATCCATCCAATCACAGATTCTCCTGCCAATTTCAGGGCAGACTGTCAAGAAGCAGAGCAGGGACCCCAAACTGGTTGTATGTTCTATAATTACTTGTTATGGGGTTGGTGAAATGTGTGAACTCCTAACGCACTTTAACAGTCCTACTGTGGTGTCACAGACACCCCTTGCACTTTCCCCTCTATTTTGCTACCCAGGCAAGCTGGCCTTAGTAATAGATGGTTGCTAGACACCAAAGATCACAAAATAGTCAGGTTACTCCCAGTCCCAAAGGACCAGTCACTTACCCCAGGTCAACTGAACTCAAACCAAAGACAATGCCTGTCGCCAGCCTGGTAAATAAACTAACAAAAGATTAAAAGAAAAGAAATTATAGTTATTACAAGGTTAAAGCAGACAAACATATATACTAGGGCTATCAAGCGATTAATCACGATTAAACAATAATAGAATACCATTTATTTAAATATTTTGGGATGTTTTCTATATTTTCAAATATATTGATTTCAATTACAACACAGAATACAAAGTGTACAGTGCTCACATTTTTTATTACAAATATTTGCACTGTAAAAAACAAAAGAAATATTTTTCAATTTACCTCATACAAATACTGTAGTGCAGTCTCTTGATCATGAAAGCTGAACTTACAAATGTAGAATTATGTACAAAAAATAACTGCATTCAAAAATAAAACAGTGTAAAACTTTACAGCCTACAAATCCACTCAGTCCTACTTCTTGTTCAGCCAATCAATAAGAGAAACAAGTTTGTTTACATTTACAGGAGATAATGCTGCCCGCTTCTTGTTTACATCACATGAAAGTGAGAACAGGCATTCCCATGGCACTTTTGCAGCCGGCATTACAAGGTATTTACGTGCCAGACATGCTAAACATTTGTATGCCTCTTCATGCTTCAACCACTGTTCCAGAGGACATGCTTCCATGCTGATGATGCTTTTTTAAAAAAAAAAAATGCGTCAATTAAATTTGTGACTGAACTCCTTGGAGGAGAATTGTATGTCTCGTGCTCGATGGTTTTACCCGCATTCTGCCATATATTTTGTGTTACGGTAGTCTTGGATGACGACCCAGCGTATGTTGCTTAAGAACACTTTCACTGCAGATTTGACAAAACACAAAGAAGGTTCCAATATCAAATTTCTAAAAATAGCTACAGCACTCAACCCAAGGTTTAAGAATCTGAAGGGCCAAACTGTGGAGCATGTTTTCAGAAGTCTTACAAGAGCAACTCGCTGATGCAGAAATTACAGGCCCGGAACCACCAAAAAAATAAATAAATCAACCTTCTGATGGTGGCATCTGACTCAAATAATGAAAATGAACATGCGTCGGTCTGCACTGCTTTGGATTATTATCAAGCAGAACCCGTCATCAGCATGGATGCATGTCCTCTGGAATGGTGGTTGAAACATGAAGGGACATATGAATCTTTACCGCATCTGGCATATAAATAGCTTGCGATGCTAGCTACAACAATGCCATGCAAACGCTTGTTCTCACTTTCAGGTGACGTAAACAAGAAGTGGGTAGCATTATCTCTCGTAAATGTAAACAAACTTGTTTCTCTTATCGATTGGCTGAACAAGAAGTAGGACTGAGTGGATTTGTAGGTGCTAAAGTTTTATATTTTGTTTTTTTGAGTGCAGTTATATAACAAAAAAAATCTACATTTGTAAGTTGCACTTTCACAATAAAGAGATTGCACTACAGTACTTGTATGAGGTGAATTGAAAAATACTATTTCTTTTGTTTGTCATTTTTTTAGTTCAAATATTTGTAATATAAAGTGAGGAGTGTACACTTTGTATTCTGTATTGTAATTGAAATCAATATATTTGAAAATGTAGAAATACATCAAAAATATTTAATAAATTTTAATTGGTATTCTATTGTTTAACAGTGCGATTAATCATGATTCATTTTTTTAGTTAATTGTGTGAGTTAACTGCGATTAATCAACAACCCTAATATATACACAAATGAGTTACAGTCTATGGTTCCAAAAGGTGACAGAGTTGCAGTAATCCGTCAGCTCTGCATGTCTTTTAGGGCTGACTGTGGGGATCTCTGCTTCGGTTTTGTAGCTCCAGCTCTGTGAGAGTCCAAACATCAAAAAGCTGACAAGAAAATTTTCCTCTCTCTATTTGTATTGCCTTCTGCAAGAATTCAAGCTGATGGGACGAGCCCTTTTGCACCTCTCTCTTTATGGGTGTGACGTCTCAAAATGACCCATTCAGTTTTGATGGGCAGGAGACAATCGCGTCTGACTGGGTTCATAGTTACAAAGCAAAAATTTAAATATGTTATAGCATGTGCTAAAGACATTATAAGTGAGATTAATGCATGCAGCAACTTACAAGCATATCAAGGTCTAAACACACTAACATACTAACACATGAGTGAAACAGACTAGTTTCCAGCAATGCATTCTTCAGTGCTTAGATGAGGCCTAAAGCCTTAGCAAGAGCTGGCACCTGGTCTTCCAGCCTCACTCAAGGTTTCTGACAGGAGATAAAACATGAAAAAGAGCAACATCAGATTCAACACAGCCCACATACTGCAGTGTCAGGGAGCTGTGCCCTAGCAAACAGAGCTCAAGGTGAGGAGCCAGGAACAGGCCAGTTCTAATCCCAGTTCTGTCACTGATACACCCCTTATGGGGGCCTGATTTGGCAGAGGTGTCGAGCAGCCCAAGTTCTCCTTTGAACTCGATGGGAGCTTCAGGTGTTCAACACCACTGAAAACTGGACCACAATTACCTCTCGATACCTTGACTTCCCCAGCTGTGAAAGGGGGAGAATCCTTGTTACCTCACTGGAGGCAGGGGGAGTGGAGAGTGTGTGTGCATGTGTGAGTGATGATTATAAATGCTGAGCATTAGGATCTGAGCACTGAAAATGACATAAAAGGGAGAACAAACAAAATACAAGTGCTCTGCTTCTGTGAGACGAGGGAATTGCCCTGCCCCAGAGAGAGGATTTTAGTCAGACAGTACCACAGCCATCAGACTGTTGCATATGAAGCTGTTAAATGCTTTGCGTTTCATTAGAATCCAGGTGTTCATTTCCCCCTGAACGCTCACAGCTGGATTTTCCATTCTTTCTAATGAGCTCCTGAAATACTAAGCAAACTCTGATGAGAGGGACCCTGCTGCTTCCTGACAAACACACAGGGGTGGTAAGTAGTGGAGGAAAGCCAATTTGCAGGCTAGCTAAAGCTCCTTGTCTTTGCAAAGAGGGCCAGGCTCAGCGATAAACCAATGCTCTCATTTTTATCACAGATTACCCTAGGGCTTACTCCCAACACCGTCAGTCCCCGAAAAGTTTCTTTTTATGCCATATACATATCAGGATTGTCACATCTGGTCTCCTCTGCCTTTGCTGGAGTGTCTTGGAGATTCATTGGGCAAATTCACACCCTAATGGAAGGGGCTAGGAGCACTGAACATTTCATGCAGACTAGTGTTAATTAGGCATTGGAGTTAAATGGACATTAAGGTTTTACGTCTCACTGAAAGCAGCAGCCCCTCTCAAAGGCTACCCCATCAAGCTGTCATGAATTTATGAGCTCCCTGAGTTTAATTCATGATGCAGAAAGCCTTGTCTAGACTCGCACTTTCACCAATGCTGGCACTGGTTCAGCTGACGTGGAGGTAGCATGAAATTCCCATTAGGGGGAAAGTTGGAGAAGACTTCCCCTATCTCATAGGGGATCGTTTTCTACTGTAAAAAGCAAGCACTTTCCCCCCCTTCATTAAACTCTTTCAGGCTTGCTTATCCATCCTAAAGCAGCACAAAAAAAGGGCACAAGGCCGTTTACTTATTTTTGCAGCTCACTTTTAGAAGTGAGCAGAACAGTGCTTAAAATGACGCAAGCCCTGAACAATCCAGAGAGGCAGACTGAAAAACCTCAGATTTGCAATGTAAAGCAGTAGCTGGAAATCAGCTCCTTCCCTTCCCTCCCATGTCTGGTGCTAATGGAAAAGTAGGTCTGGGAACATGGTCTTTGTCTTTGCTGAGTTTGAAGACACTACAG